TCTTAAATATATATATATATATTTAAGAGCCGAGGTGGCGTAGTGGTTAGGGTGCAGTACTGCAGGCCACTTCAGCTGACTGCAGTTCTGCAGTTCAGCGGTTCTAATCTCACCGGCTCAAGGTTGACTCAGCCTTCCATCCTTCCGAGGTGGGTGAATTGAGGACCCAGACTGTGGGGGCGATATGCGGACTCTGTAAATCCCTTAGAGAGGACTGAAAGCCCTATGAAGCGGTATATAAGTCTAACTGCTATTGCTATTGCTATATATATATATATATTCCACTTCCTTTGACAGGCATTGCCAATGAAAACGGGGGCATAACATTCATTCCGGTCAACCTGAATGTGAGTGGACAGGCTCAATCCCTGCCTAGCTCCATCCCGCCTCTCAGTGCGCAGACCCTTGCTGGCACGCTCACTTCTCAGCAGATGACTCGCCCAACCCTCCAGCTGCAAGGCCAGCTCCAGCAGGTGGCCCATCCTGGGGAACGGCGACAGAAGCAGCAGATCAGTAGCGGTGCCAACAGATCCCGAAAAGCTGGCTCGCTCACTCTCTTCTTTAGAAAGGTACATCGACCCTGGGAAAGAAGACAGTTTGCCATAGTGGTTAAGGTGCTGGCCTAGAAACCAGGAGAGTTCTAGCTCCGCCTTGGGCAGGAAAGCCAGCTGGGTGAATTTGGTCCAATCCCCAGGAGACTTGGGAGTTCTAGTCCTGCGTTAGGCCTGAAAACCAACTGGGTGACATTTGGGGTAATCGCTCTCTTGGTCCAACCCACCTCACAAGGTGGTGGTTGTGGGGAAAACAGGAAGAGGAAAAGAGTATTAGGTATGTTTGCCTCCTTGAGTTATTTATAAAAAAATAATAAAGATGGGGTAGTAAAATAATACATAAAAATAAATATCGTAAACCCAAACAAGGAACAACCAGGAAGGGTGTTAAAACCTGGCTGTTCTGGCAGGCCTGGGGCTGTTGACCTTATTGAAAGGTCCAGCCCCCTCTAGAGCGAATGCATGTTGTGAATTTTAAATCATTTTTTATTTTTATTTTTTTCCTTTTTCTTTTTCTTCGCTTTGTAAGCCGCCCAGAGTCCTACGGGATTGGGCGGCCTATAAATTTACTAACTAACTAACTAACTAACTAACTAACTAACTAACTAACTAACTAACTAACTAAATAAATAAATAAATAAATAAATAAATAAACCAAGACCATTCCCACCAACATTGAAAGAGCAAGCCGCTAACCTATAAAACGAGAGCAAACCTCATTCCTTACCATCGTTGATGATGTTACCTAGCTTGGTAGTGAAACGTCTGCAAGAAAACAAGCTCAGAGAGCACCAAGGATCCCACAGTTCAATCCCGAGCCACAAATATTCACTTCTATTGGTGCAAATAAATAAAAGAATATGGCATGTTTTGCAAAGAAAACTCCTCTCCCTGTTTTTCCCCGAATGCTGTACTCCCGTGAAGCATTTTCATAATTTGATTTTTCACCCGGATGCGGGGGGAAAAAACATCATTCTATGAAAAACATTGTAATGTCTTCTAGCTCTGACAGTATTTTCTGGCTTCAACAGGTGTTTTATTTAGCAAGCGTTCGCCT